ATATTTTGAATAACTGTTCTTTATCAGATGTGTCTTTTGCAAATATTTTCTCCCAGTCTGTGGCTTGTCTTATTTTCTTGACAGTGTCTTTTACAGAGCAGAAAGCTTAATTTTTATGAGGTCCAGCTTATCAATCATTTCTTTCATGGATTGTGCCTTCAGTGTTGTATGTAAAAAGACAACACCAAACCCAGGGTCATCTAGGCTTTCTCCTGTGTTATCTTCTAGGAGTTCTATAGTTTTGCATTCTATATTTAGGTCTGTGATCCACTCTGAGTGTAGACAGAAAAGAAATAAATAAAAAAGGCAAAATAGACTAATGGAACACAAATATTGAAATGGTAGACTTAAACCCAAACATATCAGTGGTTACATCAAATGTAAATGGACTAAACATTCCAATTAAAAGGTAAAAATGATCAGATTGGATTGAAAAACAATTTGCGAACATAACTTTTTCACAAGAGATGCACTTTGAATATAAAGACACAGACAGGTTGAAAGATAGAAAAAGATAAGCTATGAAGACATCAGTCTTAAGAAAGCTGGTCATGGCTGTATTAATATGAAGTAGATTTTAAGATATGGACTACCATCAAAGTTGAAGAGGGCCATTCAATTCACCAGAAACAAATAATAATACTAAATGTGTATTTACCTAATCATAAAGCTTCAAAATACATAAGCAAAAACTGACAAAATTAAAAAGAAAAAGATACAAATCTACAATCATATTGGAGAGCTTAACAACTTTTTTGAGTAGTTGATAGAACAATACACAAAATCAGTAAGCAAGCATATAGAAAATTTGAACAACTTATCTACCAACTAAACCTAATTACCATATATAAAATACTCCACCTAATAACTGTTGATTATACTTTATTTTCAAATGCACATGGAACATTCACCAAGATAGACAGTACACTGGATGATAAATTTCAAAGAATTTGATATTCTTTGATAACAGCAGAATTTAATTAAAAATCAGTAACAATAAGAAAGCTAGAAAATACATAAACATTTTGAAATTGAGTATCACAATTATAAATAATCCATGAGTCAAAGAAGAAATCACAAAAAAGAAGAAATCATGAGAATTATTACAAAATATTTGAAATTGAATGATAATGAAAACACAGCATATAAAAAACCATAGGGTATAGCTAGAGCAGTATTTAGAGGAAAATTTACAGCTTTAAGTGTGCATATTAGAAGAGAAAAAAGGTTTAAAAGCAATTATCTAAGCTTGCATCTTAAGAGACTAGAAAATAAGAATAAATTCAGCCCATAGCAAATAGGAAGAAATGACATAATAAATAGTAGAAATCAGTGAAATAGAAAATGGAAAATCAGAGAAAATCAGCAAAGCCAAAAGTTGAAAAGACTAATAAAATTGATAAACCATAACAATACTGATCAAAAAATGAGGATCGTGGGGACACTACTTTAGGTCCTATAGACTTAAAAGGATGATAAAGGCCTATTACAAAGAACAATAAATTTAACAACTTAGATGAAATGGACAAATTCCTTGAAAAGCGCACATACCATCAGTAACACAGGAAGAAATTACTTTTATGTTTAGACCTATGATCCATTTAAAATTAGGCTATATAAATGGTGTAAAGTAGGAATCAATGAAATTGAACTCATAATTAAAACCCTCCCCACAAGGAAAGCTTCAGACTGACATGGCTTCACTGGTAAATTCTATCACACATTTAAGGAAGAAATAATACCCAGCCTATACAAATTTTTTCAGAAAATGGAGGGTGGAACTCTTCCCAGCTTATTTTAGGAGGCCAGCATAACCCTGACACAAAGAATGAACAGGAACATTCCCAGAAAAGTAATTACAGACCAATGTTCCTCAGGAACGTAGATGCAAAATATTTTCAAATTGACATCCGCTGGTATGTATAAAAAGGTTAGTAACTCATGACCAGGCAAAGTTTATCTCAGGAATGCAGAGTTGGTTTAACTTTCAAAACACAAACAATGTAAAGAAGTGAAGGAGCTAGTCATGTAGATCTGAGGAATAGCTTTCCAGGCAAAGGGAAAAATAAGTGCAAAAGTCTTAAGATGAGAACGTACTTGGACTCAGATTCTAGAAGTGAAGTATGTCTAGAGTGAAGGGAATGAAGAGGCCACTCTTTTTGCCACTGTGTTTTCTGAGCACCACCCCTGCTTCATTATTATTCTTATTTCTGCCTTGAGTGTAACAATAACTAAATAAGAATAGTAACCCCTCCATTTCTTAGAGGCAAAAAAAGCTGTATTCTCTCCAGAACCACTACATCCTTAGCTGTGTAATGGTATTCAAGTTTGAATATTGACACATACCAAAGGCAGAATTATACCAATAGAGGCTGAACAATTGGCTGGCCTTCAAGAAGGCTCACAATGTGACCTTCATCTTTACGAAGTCACTTCTTGGCCAAAACCTCCTTTTAGCCTTGTGGGCTTAGAAAATTAACCTTTTAAATATCCCAGGGTTGCGTAGACGTGGAGAAGTGCTAGTAGAGTTCACAAGAACCTGATGTATAAAACTCAAATGCCAGTTTATTAGTTTACAATAATAAACAAAACTCTCAAGGAAATCAGAAAACCTATCAGTCATCAGTGCTTCTTCTCCCTGTAAGGAAACTACACTGGAAGCCAAATTATCATAAAGCTGGTTACTGAGCATAGAAATCAAGTCAGTCATTAGAGTTGGAGTGTTCTTAACCTCTGGCTCTGGACACTCAAGGAGCCAATCTCCGTAACAGTGTTATTCTTATCAGACAGTCACTGGATGGGAACTACCAACACATGCCTCCTTCACTTGCCTATTTTTGTGCTACGTTCTTCACATAATCCCTTCTGATGATATATTCTTTCTTTAGTTTATATTAATACCTCCTGTGATATCTAGCTGAGGCTGGTGATCTAGAGTCCCACTAAGGGGACTTTGCATGTCTCTACTCTGATACATGGTGTATTAGTTTCACAGCTTCACTGCTGAAGAATAATTTTAGAAGCAGGCTAATATGATTTATGGAGTAACCAAAATTTTGTTCCAGTTTTTTGATTTCTATTAGCATATTCTATGAACATGTATATAAGCATATTCAGTGACTATATTCTCCTTATGAATGTATGCTACTGGATATATCAATGGATGTATTTATTACATATTAATATATGCAGTGATATGTATTACATATATACATATAAGTTGATATATATCCCTTTGAATATACTTGATATATTAAAAATCTTCTTTTGAATATAGTTTCCTTATCTAATATGATGTTTCTGTTTACCAATTTATTTATAATTCTTTTAAAGTCATTTTCTGTTTTGCCAATATATCAGGAGGCCTAGTTCACCAATTTGAATGAACTGACTTTGAAGAATTAACAAAACTGAAAACTTAAAAGGATGTTTAAAGTTTATAGCAATTTATGTGAAGTGTTACTTGACAAGTTTTCACTTTGTTTTTATACCAGTATTTTGGAATGCTTACAGTGTTTCTGTCCTAGTTCCCCTGATGCTCTGCAGAACTGTGTTTCCATATAATTGGTTTCTTTTGTATTCCTGTATGTTTTATTTTATGCATTTAAAAAACATTCTAAGAAGTCCATAGTCCTCATATACTATCAAAATGAGCCATGGCATAATAAAGGTGAAGAAGCTCCAAGTTAAGGGAGAAGCTGGGAAAGAGAGAGGGGAAACCGTACTGAGGGTCCCAGTAAAAAGGGTCCCAGTAAAAAGGAAAGCTGAGTTACAGAGAGAAGGGGAGACAGGTCGGGGACAGAGTCTTAAGGCCCCAGAAACCCAGAGTCTTGTCTCCCTACAGCCATCTTAAGCTATAAACTTATTTTGGCAAATTGGTTATTTTGACGAATTGGTGTTTTGACAAATTGATTCTTCTTTGTATTGACCTAGAATCACCTTCCTGACTGACTAGAGCTCTCTCTTAAATAGACATGAGAATGAAGAAGTAACTTTCCCAGCCCCGCTAATCAGTTCATTTTAAAGTGGGTGTTTCACTACAATACCACTGTCACGCTCACTGGGAGTACCACTTCACACCCACTAAGATGGCTATGATTGTGATCAAAAAGGTAATATCAAATACTTTCAGTGTGTGAAGAATTGGAACCCTCCCACCTGCTGGTGAGAATGTAAACTCGTGCAGCCAGAGTAGAAAACGGCATGGCAGTTCAGCAAAAAATTTAAAATAGAATTACTGTATGATCCAGCAATTCTACTTCTGGGTATATACCTAAAAGAATTGAAAGCCGAGTCTCAAAGATATATTTATATCCATATTCATAGCAGTGTTGGTCACAATAGCCAAAAATAGGAACAACCCAAGTGTCCATCAATGGATGAATGGATAAACAAACTGTGGTGTATACACACAATGAAATATTATTCAGCCTTAACCCATGCACTTTCCACTGGGCCTCACTGCCCTCCGCTGTAGCCTTGTCTGTCTCAGCATAAATACTGATCTACTTAATGGCAGGGAAATGGCCTACATGATCTCCTGGATCTTTTAGATCAATAGGTCTATGTTTCAGTGAACCACTAGATACAGGAAATGAAACCATTACTCTTAACCAGAACCTGCTTTGATAAGTAGAAGGCCCTCCATCGCAGATGCTTCCCTTGTGTTCAAATCCCAAACACCATCACTTGCTAGCTGTGAAACCTTGAGTGCATTACTTAAACTCTTTGATCTTCAGTTTATACAAAAGTGGGGATAATAATATTTACATCATAAGGTGTTATGAGAATTTAATTACATGTAAAAAGCTCTCATCACAGTATCTAGCATGTAATGTGTTGAATACTTATAATTACTGTTTATTTTTATTATCATTATTATTTACAGTGAGTAATTTTTAATCAAGTGCTTTCCTCTTTAGAGTAGTCAAAATATCCTTTATGGCTGTTTACTAGTTTTCCTTCTCAAGGCCCATTGACATGTGCTCTTCTTTTAATAGGTACAACGTAAGAGATATGGTGCAATTCTTAAGCGTTTGCACTGTCAGGTGAACAAGCTTCAGTCAGATAGAAGACGATGGCAATGGAACATTCAACAGCTGCAAAAAACTGCAGCTGAACTGAGAAAATGCATTGGAACGAAAGATTAACATGGCCAAGGGTAATGTAGTATAGGGTAATGCTGAGCACAGACTATGCCACAAAAATTATGGGATAGAAAGGTGAGAATATCCTTTGGGTCTTAACAAATGACATCCACTATCAGAGGGCTCTCTTAATGACAGATATGTTTTCTTTTCTTTGAATCAGTCATCTGTTTGCTGAAATGCCTTCCAACCCGATAATTGATAGCAATAGAGAGACAATAGGAAGGCTCACAGAAGAATAGTGAAAGACTCTGTATGAATATTTTGAGTGTATAAGATATATTGTACTCATGAATGCCTGTTTATAAACATGTTGCCTTCACTAGCACATGAAGCAAAAATTTAGAAGAAAAGAAGCATTTGAATTTACAGTGGTTTAAATTGTTAAGATATTTTAAATGGTTGTCTGTTTCAAACTACCTGATTTTTACCCCTGGCTTCAAAGCAGTCCATAAATGTTGACATTTATAATAAGGTTGTTATGTGTTCAAGGCTTCAGATATTTACCTAGTTTTTCTCTTTTATCCAGAAGGTAACAATCATTTTTCTTTGCTGTTGGATAACATATTTTTAGAGTGTTGCAATGTATACAATTTTTTGTTCACTTTTCTGTCTGTATGTTCTTTCTTACTATTCTATAGCTAAATTGAATTTATAACATCATGTAAGGCAAACATACCAGCTCTTAATGTTAACCAATGTAGACTAACATTTTTTTTCTCATTGAAAGTCATATACTATGTCCACAGCAACAAACTTGTGCCTTTTAGAATAAAAGCGCTCCTTGTTGTGGCTCCATTGCGTTAAATTTTTAGAAGCAGAAACAAAACATCAATTATTGAAGATATGGTTTTTAAATATTCACTTTTAGGATTTAATGAGTTCAAAGCAATAACATCAAAGAGGTATCTTAGGTCCATTTTCTCCTCACCTTTCTATGTGCATAAGATTCAGTAAGAGTATAGCTGACATAAAACCTGACAATCTTGTTTGCCTAATATTAGTAGTCCTATTAGGAATTTGCATGACTTATTATGGCTAACACTTCAAGTGGCTTATGCTGTAACACAATCAGCGTTGGCCCATGACTCAGAACTAGGTTATTTTCTTTCTTTCTTCTAATTTTTAGGATTAGGGTTAGAGTTAGTAGATCACAGACGTAAATGCAAAATGCAAAATTATAAAACTGCTAGAAGATAACATAGGAGAAAGCCTAGCTAACCATCAGTATGCTGATGTCTTTCTTAGATACAACACTGAAGGCACAACCCATGAAAGAAATAATTGATAAGCTAGACTTCATTAAAATTAAAAATGTCTGCTCTGTAATAGATACTGTCAAGAGAATGATAAGACAAGCTATAGACTGAAAGAAAATATTTGCAAAAGGCAAACCTGATAAAGAACTGTTATTCAAAATATAAAATAAACTCTTAAAACTCAACAATAAGAAAACAAATAACCGGATTAAAAAAATGGGCCAAAGGCCTAATAGACACCTCACCAAAGAAGATACACAGATGGCAAATAAGCATATGAAAATATGCTCCACATGATATGTCATCAAGGAAATGAGAATTAAAACAATGAGATACCACTACACACCTGTTAGAATGGCCAAAATCTGTAACACTGACAATACCAAATGCTGATGAGAATGTGGAGCAACAGAAACCCCAAACAGAAATGCAAAATGATACAACCATTGAGGAAGAAGTTCATCTCAGTCTAAGTTTAGAGGGAAATTTGACAAAACCTTCATTTGCGGGACCTGATGATGGTGGTCTCACTGGTGATACCAAGAAACTGAGTTCCTTGTATTAAGTGCACTTCATGTATTTCTAATAAGACGACTTTCCAGAAAGTGACATTTGTTATGTTCTGGCTTTTAAAAGGTGAAATATAAATAAATTTCATAATTTATCCAAGAAAACAGAAATGCAAAATGGTACAACCATTTTAGAAGATAGTTTGGTAGTTTCTTACAAAACTAAACATACCCTTAACATATGGTCCTGCAGTCACACTCCTTGGTATTTATCCAAAGGAGTAGAAAACTGATGTCCACACAAAAACACAGGTGATTATAGCAGCTTTTTTCATAATTGTCAAAACTTGGAAGCAACCAAGATGACCTTTGGTAGGTGAATGGATAAATACACTGTGGTATATCCAGACAATGGAATATTATTTAGTGCTTAGAAAAGAAATGTTTTTAAGCTATGAAAAGATACGAGGAAACTTCAATGTATATTTCTAAGTGAGAGAAGCCAATCTGAAAAAGTTACATAAGTCTAACTATATGACATTCTGGAAAAAGAAAAACTATGGAAGCAGTAAAAATATCAGTGGTTGCCAGGGTTGCTGAGGGTGGGGGGTTGGAGGAGAGATGAATAGGTGGAGCACAGGGGATTTTTTTAGGGCAGTGAAAATATTTTGTATGATGCTGTAATGATGGATATATGTCATTATACATTTGTCCAAATGCATAGAATGTACAGTACCAAGGGTGAATCCTAAGGTAAACTGTGGACTTTGGGTGATTATGATGTGTCAGTGTAGGTTCATCCTTGGTTTAAAAAGATGTACCATTATGGTGAGTAACGTTAATGAATGGGAAGGCTGTGCATGTGTCGGACCAGGGAGTATATGGGAAACCTCTGTGACTTTCTCTCAATTTTGTTATAAACCTACAACTGCTTTAAAAATTTGTTATTTTTTAAACATCTTTATTGGAGTATAATTGCTTTACAACGTCGTGTTAGTTTCTGCTGTATAACAAAATGAACCAGCTATACGTATACATATATCCCCATATCCCCTCCCTCTTGCGTCTCCCTCCCGCCCTCCCTATCCCACCCCTCTACGTGGTCACAAAACACCTGATCTCCCTGTGCTATGTGGCTGCTTCCCTCCGGCTATCTATTTTACATTTGGTAGTGTATATATGTCAATGCTACTCTCTCACTTCGTCCCAGCTTACCCTTCCCCCTCCCCCTGTCCTCAAGTCCAGTCTCTACAACTGCGTCTTTATTCCTGTCCTGCCCCTAGGTTCATCAGAACCTTTTTTTTTTTTTTTTTAGATTCCGTATATATGTGTTAGCATATGGTATTTGTTTTTCTCTTTCTGACTTACTTCACTCTTTATGACATCAGTACATGAAAGTCAGTATTAGTAAAACATTTGGGCTAAGGAAAGTGAAATTCTGCTTATAAAAATTGCTTTGGAACCTTGTAAAGTTCACATAGGTGATTACAATTAATACTCGAAGTTCCTGTATCATCTTGCATTGAACATGGAATCCCTTGTTCATCCATACAAATCATTAAGGCCTATAACAATACTGTGGAAATTTAGGACTATTTTTTGGTGGGGAGAGTCAGTAGACTAAGAAGAACTTACGGTTTTTCAACTAAAAACTATTTGATTTACTAGTTGCTCATATTTTCAATATTTTATTTTTCATTAACTAAGATAATGATTAGTAAAGCTAATGATCAGTAGCTAAAAGTTGTGTGCCTGTCATAAATAACCTATGCTATATTTGTTTACTTGAATTTATAATGTATTTCTAAGGGAAGCGTTTGGTTTTTGGTTTTTGTTCTTTTACTTTCCTGATAAATTTGGCAGTATAAGTAATGGGTCTTCTATATCACATAAGCTACCATATAGCACTTTCTCCTGAATGTTACTGAACTATGACCAAAACCAGGAAAAATAAATTGAAACAGATACTAATAACAGAATAGATTTATTCAATACATATCTAAGAATGGGATGCTCCAAATTGCTTTTTCTCTTCTGTAATGTTCTATCTCAATGATGGCTATGAGGTCTACATTTTTAGAAAAATTAAAATAGCATATGATTTAGTAATGACAGAGTTGCTGTTTACGTAACCCAGTAAAGACAGACATGAAATAATGAAACTTCAATCTTTTAATTAATGAGATGATGTATTCCAAAAGCAAAACCAGAGTTCATGTGATAAATAGTTTTAAAAGGCTTCTTACTCAAAAAGCTCTCTGGCATAACAATCATGTCAGAATTAGAATAAAACCCTTAAATTACAGATATTTGCCAGTGTTGCTCAGCCACACAGCACAAGGTAATTTAGAGGCAATGATAACACACTGCCAGTCTAAGATAGACCTTCAAATTTCTTCTTTGTCCAAAACGTTTAAGTCAAGACATATCGTCCACCTTATTTATTATGTATTACTTATTACTCCCCATGACATTATTTTACATAGAATAGAAATTTGTTATCCCCGTGCTTGTATTGGAGAAGCTTCCTCAAGGTGCTTTCAAGACTATTTCTCCTTGATTCCATAGTGCTTCTTTATGTATGTGATATGGGAAAAATATAACAATCCTGCAAAAATGAGTTGTTTTGTCTTCAATGACTAGTGTTAACTAATTCATGCCCAGTTAGCCAGCCAGATGTCAGCACATATACTTGGCTGAAAATATTACACAGTTTTCTCCTCATCCACCTTTCCCACAGAGACTGTGTACAGCCATTGTCAAGTGTCTGTCATTCCTTAGAGGGAGACCGTTTTGAGGACACCTCCGTCCCTTGGATGTAATATTGACTTGGCTGGGAAGTTAGATAATGTTGATATTATTTTAATTTGTGGTTCATACAAATTTGTATAAAGCATTCAATTCTCAGAAGAGTCCATTCTTTTTCTAATCTTTCACTAATTTAGATTATTCATCTTCTAAGCCTTTCAATCTCAATTAATCTGTCAATGTAATTTACTCAGGCACAGTTTCCTAATAATTAGTCTAATTCTCTCATTTTTCTTCCATTTCTTTCCAGCAAAAAATACCACTTCCTCTTCAGAGCTTTCCTTTTCTCAGTCTCTGCAGAGCCCCAGTTGTATCATCTTCAGACTCCAATTCGCATTTTTGGTGTAACTCCAAAGTTTAATTCACTTGCCTAAATTTAGATCCCGAACATTGAAAACAATCTCTTCATTTATAACTGTCTTATGCAAGAGACTCCATCTTTATTTTGAGCTGCATCCTAGAGATAAACTTTCTCAGAAACACTGACACAGTCAGTGCTCTGCCCAGACCCTCTCAGATCTCTTTTTTATCCTTTTTGAGCACCCCTCTCCCAGGTGAGCTATGCTTTTACCTCCACTAGCTCTCACCAACACTGTCTGTGGGAATCCTGCTACCCTCAAAAGGACTTTACCTGCTATTACAGGCTTGCTTGGCTTTTTTTTTCTTTCCAGTCTTGCTTCCCTCACCAATTTCTCCTGGGAGGACTTCACTAATAAATCACTTGCTCGGAGTCTGCTTCTGGGAATCCCAAACCAACTCACCTTGCAAAAATAATTACACGTTGAAATCTCTATTTTCAAGATATGACTTACTCTACTCCGGTTCCTCATTCCAGATCAATTCTGCTTCCAGCAGCAGCAGCAACAGGAAAAAAAAAAAAAAAAAAGCAAGAAACTTAGCACCTTTGAAATCTAATTACTATCCCATTTAGTGTAATTATGATATTTTTATTGGCTTTAAGTTAAAAACGCAAAAGCCAAAAGACACAAACTTTATTCCATTTATTTAGTACAACAGTACAAGTACACTATGAGCCTTCAAGTATAATAAGTCAGTCACTATTTTGTATTAAACTTTTTTTCATATTACTATTCTTAGGAACTACCATGTTGCTACATACTATAAATTTATTAAATAAATCTTGATTTTGAATTTAACAATTTTTTAATTTAAAATTTTTTCAACTGTGCTGAGGTCCTGTGATTTTTAGACAGGCTT